TGACTATAGGGCCGAAAATCGGGTCATGTGGCAACAACTGGGCAATGGTCTGACGGGTGCTCTCCCCAAAAGTATGAGTAGAGGAGATCAGTTAGAGAGCGTCAGGCCTACGAGAAAGGGCGTCTGCTACACGATTGTAGCAACCCTTCTTGTGTTTCAGTTCAAAGTCAAAGAGATCAATGAACTGAATATAGCGAGCAAGCTTGTCGTTCAGTTCCCCTTGGGTCTTCATCCATTGTAAGGTGGAGTGATCTGAGTAGATCTTGAAGTGCTTGCCCATGAGGAAATGTTTCCAATGCTTGAGCGCTGACACTAGAGCATACAACTCTTTCTTGTATGTAGAGTCCTGCAGCTTCTTCACTTTGATCTTTTTACTCATGTACTCAACAGGCTGCAGACCATGCCCGCTGTCCTGCTGAAGTATCGCCCCACCCCCATATTGGCTAGCATCAGTAGTTTCAGGAGCTAGCCCTTCCGCCCCAACCCCATATTGGCTAGCATTAGTAGTTAGTATGAAGGGTAGGGTAGGGTCAGGTAGCTTCAGAACAGGTGCACGCATCAAGGCCTCCATGAGGCGTGTAAAAGCCTGCTGACAGTCTGATGTCCAAAGAAAATGGGTGTCTTTCTTTGTGAGGTCAGTCACGGGTGCGACAATAACAGAAAAGTTCATGACGAACTTTCTGTAATAGGAGGCAAGACCCAAGAATGACCGGACATCCCGCACTGTGGTAGGCTGTGCCCAGTCCTGAATCGCAACAACCTTAGTTGCTTCAGGAGCTAGCCCTTCCCCAGAAATTACATGTCCCAGATAAGTCACAGAAGTCACTCCAAAGGAGGACTTTCCCCTGTTGATCTTATACTGGGCGTCATGTAGTGCCTGGAGAACTAGAGCCAGATGCTGGGCATGCTCCTCGATAGATCGACTGAATACCAGGAAGTCATCCAGGTGCACAACTACAAATCTGTCCAGTATGCGTTGCATCTCTGTCTGGAATGTGGCAGGGGCATTGCAGAGACCAAAAGGCATGACCAGATACTCATAAGTACCGTATCTGGTCTTGAAGGCAGTCTTGTGGACATCGCCTTCAGCCATCTCAATCTGGTGGTAGCAAGATTTGAGATCGATCTTGCTGAAAATTGTGCAACCCTGCACCATGTCCAACAAATCATGAATCCTAGGAAGGGGCTCTGTCGACTTCCTAGTGATTTTGTTGAGACCCCGATAGTCTATGCACATTCTGAATTCTCCATTTCCCTTTGGGACAAAGAGAACTGCAGCCCCAAATTCAGAAGTGCTTGGTCTGATCCAGCCCTTGCTGGTCAGGGTCTCAACCTGTCTCCTGAGCTCATCAAGTTCGGCAGGTGACGTCCTGTAGATACAACCCTTAGGAGGGAGCAGACCTGGCAGGAGCTCAATCCTGTGCTGGGTTTGTCGGTGGACAGTTCCAGTCGGCTCTTGCATCAGGCTTGGCAACCGGTCCAAAACCTGTTGAATTGGTGAGGGACAAGGAGCAACATCCACACCAGTCTGTTTCACGTATGTGACAAACAAACGTGTGTGGGCAGTCTGGCGAAAGAGCTGGAAAAACTCGTGTGCTCTCAGACAATAGCAACTGCTGACTGGCTGGTACTCATCAGCTAGCACACAAGGCTGATAGTCCCCTCTACAGTCAGGGAGCTTAACCCTAAGGATATGCCAGTCGATCCGAGAGTTAGTGGCCTCGAGCCATTGCATAGAGAAGATAAGATCAAAAGGCACATTAGGGAAAACATAGACGTTCAGGTGCTGCCTGACCTTCTCCTGCTTGGCAAAGATAACCGGTAGGTTCTCGACAACACTAGTAATCCGGACTGTGGACGAGAGATAACTGGTAGGTTCTCGACAACAGTAGTAATCCGGACTGTGGAAGAGTCCTCAATACAGACTTCCAATGGCTGCTGCAACTTCACCAATCTCCCGTCCAAGTGCAGCTTGCTGACAGCCTTGGGAGAGATGAAGTTTCGCGTGGACCCACAGTCTACTAGGCCTTTGATCTTGGCTCCCAGGATGGAAGGTCGCAGCAAAATGAGGTCTGATTTATGCTTCTTCTTTTCCTGCAAAGACAAGAAAAGATCAGCAAAAGCCTGACAGTCATCTTCCTGCCACGTCTCATCTAGGTCAGGGTCCATGCAAGTGAAGGAACCCGACGCAGCAACTCCAACAGAGTCAGCGAGGGTAGATGCAGATTCAGACTCGTCAGAATCTGAATCAGCACAGGTGGAGGGAGCTGCTAACTCCACTTCCCTCTGCTGGTCTAGTTTATTCACCTAGATCCAGGCTTGCGAGGCATATGGGGACAGTCTTTCAGAAAGTGGTCCCCCTCGCAACGAAAGCAAACCTCACGGTCCTTCGTTCTCTGCCACTGCCCCTCCCGCATCCTGAGCGCTCTCCAGGGAAGGGTGGAAGGATCTATGGGGTTGACTGGCCAATGGACGTCTCGTGGTAGGTTAGGTCTCTGGGTCCGAGGGGAAGTGGCACGTCCCTTCCCTTTCCCCTTTTGATTGGCTGAGCTCTTACTGTTGTTGTTCCCCATCTTCCCTTTGAACATGGCAGCAAGGTTCTCAGCCAGGGCAAGAACGGTTGGCTCAACTGCTGATGCTGATGCAGTCTCAACTGGAGGACTGCCACGCTGAGATGCATCAGAATCAGATCCTGCATCAGCAGCCAACAGAGCACCCTTCTTCCTACGCTGTCCCCTGGAATAGGGCCTCCTCCTTCCATCAGAAGGTTCTTGAACCTTGAGCCGAGACTCCAGGTCCAGGGCCGCTTTGCCAAAGGACCTCCAGTCCTTGTGGCCCTGAGAATAGAAAGCAATGGAGTAGTCTGGAGGCGCTGCGCGTAGGAAGTGAGTGAGCTGGTCAGACTCACTTAGACCACAAAAAACGAAAGCAACAGACATGAATAACAAACTCACCGTCAGTCATCAAGGTGCGGTCGTTCAAAAGCCTTGACACTGCACAGCTCAAGCCTCAGCGTCCAACATTCAGGATCTAGAGATGGTGTGTGCTGGGTGAGTGTGTGTGGGTGTGGGTGTTCTGTGTAGGTGAGTCTGAGCATGTGTGAGTGTTGCTATGTTCGCTATACAGAACTCACAAAATGACTCAGCCAGACTGTTTCGTCGGACTTCCAACGACTCATCAGGAGGTTGAACCCCGACAGTCCGCCCAAGATGAACTGTACTGATGGCCAAGGACTCACCACGTTTGTGTGTGTGTGTGTGTGTGTGTGTGTGTGTGTGTGTGTGTGTGTGTGTGTGTGTGCGCGTGCGTGTGAGTGTGTGAGTGTGTGTGTGTGTTCGTGCGTGTGTGCGTGTGCGAGTGCGCGTGTGTCCAACGTAGAGCAAAGCCGTAGTCGTGCATAGCAGCATAGAAGTCAGTCAAGTAGCTTGAGTGTCCAAAACAGGCGTTGACTCTAGAGTAGCACAGAGTAGCTCAGTCGAGTACTGGAACACAACAGATTTGCATCCTCAGAGTCAGAACTGGAACACAACAGATTTGCATGATCTTTGCAGAAATCATTTTCATGGGTCTCGATAAGGGTTGTCGAGCCCCGGCCCCAGGGCCCCGGCGGGGGTCCGGGGGTGGGCACCCCTGACCCCGGCTCCGGACCCCCCCCAAAAATAAATAAATAAATAAATAAATAAAATACAGGGGGGTTCGCAGCGGCAGCCTGCACCCCCTGGGCCGAACTGCAAAAATGCAGTTCCGGGCCTGTTAAGTACACTGCGAGAACAGGGATTTTTGAAAGGAGACTTTATACCCACGGAAAAACGTGGAATAGTCCCCATGGATCATGCTGACCTCCGCCCCCCCCCGGGGATACACCCACCCCTGGTGAGCCCGGGGTCACCCTGGGCACGGGGCCGGGGCGGGGTTGAGCGAGGTGCGGGGCCGGGGATGGCTGGGAGCGGGGCGGGGGCGGGAGTCGGTGCCGGGGTGGGCGCGGGGCTGGAATGAGGGGGCGAGGGTCACAAGAAGTTAACGGGGCATCTGGTTTTTAGGCCTGAAATTTATGAAATTAGGGTTTTGGGCTCAAATTTCATGTTCTTTTGGAATTTCAAGTTTTTGCTATATATGCATTTTGATAGGGTGCCGTACATGAAATTTGGGGTTATTTGGAGTTTTAGAATTTGCGCTATTAAGATTTCTGAAATTTCTGAAATTGGTCGAGTTTTTTTTGGGTCAAATTTCATGGAAATGCACCTTTGGCTTGCTGTTTTATATGTTTTTAATTG